CTTCGCTTTCTGTGGTGCTCCGTATATCACAAAGGCTCAGTAAACCCCAAGTCCTCATCACCACCCACAAGTTGCTGCCTCACCACTAGCCCACCACCTCTCTCTCTCCCTGTCTCCTGCTTGTCTTCCTCCATTCCCTGCGCTCCAGCCACACCAGCCTCCTTTGCACTTGCTCTTGCTCCTCTGACACAAATGCTCTTCCAGTAGATAGGCATTTGGCTGACTCTTACTTCTATCAGGTCTCTGCCAACTGTCACCTCCTTGAAGAGGTGTTCCCAAATCACCATTCTCAAACAGCACCTGCTCTGTCCCTTGCTATCCCTTTACGAACTGCTTTAGTGTCCTGTGCAGGACTAATGTTATTTAGGACCACGCAATTCCATTACATCTTTAAAAACCTTTTTTTTTTTAAAGATTTTATTTATTTGACAGAGAGAGAGCAAGCGAGAGAGAGCACAAGCAGGGGGAGCAGCAGAGGGTGAGGGAGAAGCAGGCCCCCCACTGAGCAGGGAGCCTGATGTGGGGCTCGATCCCAGGACCCGGGGATCATGACCTGAGCCGAAGGCAGACTCTTAACCAACTGAGCCACCCAGGCGCCCTCCATTATGTCTTATGTTCTATGTCAGCCCCTCAAAGGCAGGGGCCTGCTGGAAGGGCATAGACCTCACTGCTGCCCCTCCCTTTTCCTTCATTTCTTCTGTCACTAAATGCTGGGCTCTAGTCATGTGTCTGGCACCATCTGAGGCTCTGGGGATATGGAGGCAGGCAGACGTGCTGACAGAGAAAGGCGTGGAAGGCTTGCCATAATTTTCACATAAATGCTTACCCTGGGGAGGGTTGAGCAGGAAAGGTAGAGTAAAGAGTCTGGGGTCTCAGGTCCAATCCTAGCTGGGCAACCTCCTCCCTCCTCAGTCTCTTCATCTATAAAATGGGGCTAATGATAGTAACCACCTCACGGGATTGGCACGAGAATACCTTGTTAATTCCTGTGGCTGACAGACAACTTTAGTAGCTGTTGGCAATTGATTAAAATAAGAGGAGGGTTCCTTCTGTAACTTAAGAAAAGCCATAATGAAGGGGGAAAAAATCAGTCAAGCCACCAACAATGTTTCAAGCAGCCCAGCCCTTCTCACACACACAAAGATTTATGTTCCTCATGGTCCTCCCAGAACATCAGATCCAATCTCTCTTCTAAGACTCAGGTGGGGGGGGGGGCACCTGGGTGGCTCAGTCATTAAGCGTCTGCCTTCGGCTCAGGTCATGATCCTAGGGTCCTGGGATCGAGCCCCACATCAGGCTCCCTGCTCAGCAGGGGGCCTGCTTCTCCCTCTCCCACTCCCCCTGCTTGTGTTCCCTCTCTCTCTTTGTCTCTGTCAAATAAATAAATAAAATCTTAAAAAAAAAAAAAAAAAGACTCAGGTGGGATCACTAGCTGGGAGAAAACTCCATTGGCCTTGCTCAACTCTGGGGCCAGTAATGGCGGGAACCAGGCCAGCACCATGCAGCTTTCCATCCTTGGAAGCTCTGAGTAAAGATACAGGTGCTCATGGTGTGGCAGGATTTTGGTGGTTTTTTTTTTTTTTTCACCTTTTAAATCAACTTTATTGCAGTATAATCTCCATACAATAAAATTCCATCACCCAGAAAATGCTCTTGTGCCCCTCAGCAGTCAACTCCGACCCCAAAGATAACCATTGATACATTTTCTGCCGCCACAGATCAGTGTTGCTTGACTTTATATTAATGGAATCACACAGCATGGACTCTTTTTAATCCATTTTTTACAGTTTTAATGAGGTAAAGCTGTAAAACTGATGTACATAAACGGCACCTATTTAAAGTGTAGAGTTTAAAGTGGCTTTAACACATTCCCAGGCCCCAGAAATGATCACGAGATAACTTCAAGATAATAAACATATCCATCAGCCCCAAAAGTTGTCCTCATGTACCTGCCTCCCCACCCCAACTACTAATCTGCTTTCTGTCACCGTAAATTGGTTTGCGTTTTCAAGCACTGTAAACAGAATCATGTAGTCTGTACTCTTCTGTGCCTGGTTTCTTTCATTCAGCATGATTATTTTAATTCAACCATGTTGTTGTATTCCTCCCCAGCCCCCCCAGCCCCCACTCCGGCAGCATCTCACCGTGTAGGAAGACCCAGTTTGGTTATCCATGCACTTATTGGTGAACATTAGAGTGTTTTTACAGTTTGGGATTCTTACGGAAAAAGCCACTATAAGCTTCTTATGAAAGTGTATTTGTGAAGATAAATTTTCATGTATCTTGGGTAAATACCGAGGCATGGAGGTGCTGGGCCATAGGGTAGATGTATATTTAACTTCATAAGAAACTGCCAAACTTTTTTTTTCCGAAGTGGTTGTACCACTTTACACACTCACCAGCCGGCTGAAGTTGAACATCAAGCTTGTTCCTGTCTCACGGCTTCTATACTTCTTCCTGCTTCCTTAATGTCTTAGCACTAGTTTTAGCATGGCTGGCTTCAGGTCCCCCCAAATTCATATGTTGAATTTATAAGCCCCAGTAGCTTAGAATGTAACATATTTGGAGATAGGTCTTTAAAGAGATGATGAAGGGGCACGTGGGTGGTTCAGTGCCTTAAGCCTCTGCCTTCCGCTGGGGATCTCGATCCCAGGGTTGTGGGATAGAGCCCTGCGTCAGGCTCCCTGCTCAGCGAGGAGTCTGCTTCTACCTCTCCCTCTGTGTGCTTGCTCCATCTCTCTCTCAAATAAATACATAAATCTTAAAAAAAAAAACTAAAGAGATGATTAACACAAGCCCATTAGGGTGGGGCCCTAATACAATATGACTTGTGTCCTTACAATAAGAGGAAAAGATAACCCACACAGAGGAAAGACCTTGTGGGGACACAGTCAGAAGGTAACCACCTTCAGGCCAAGAAGAGAGGTCTCCGGGGTGAAACTAAACCTGCCAACACTTTGATATTGGACTTCTAGCCTCCAGAACTGTGAGAAAATGAATTTCTGTTAAGCCACCCAGTCTGTAATATTTTGTTATGGTGGCCCTAGCAAACCAACACAGAGGACTTCCCATCACCATTTTGCAACCATTATAGTAATAATTGATTCAGGCAAGAATCATCAATGAACGCTAAAACCAGTGGGCAGAGAGTGAGATGAAAAACAGGATAGTCTCAAAATATCTTCCCCCAAGATACTTATTAATTACAAAGGGAAAAACAGCAACTTTTCAGTGGAGTACGTTGGCGGACATCATCTTAACCAAATGATCAAAGTTAATATCACTAATTTTGGGACAAACCAAGCCAGGTGCCTTCTGATGTGATGCACTCAGGACATAAATTTCTTTCAGTGGCATTCTTGCCAAAAATGCATAACCTGAATCTAATCAGGAGAAAATAACAGTCAAATTAAGGACATCTACAAAATAACTCGCCAGTACTCTTCAAAAATGTCAAGGTCATGAAAGACAAAGGCTGAGGAACTAACCGCTTCTCCAGATTAAAGGAAACTAAAAAGACCAGACAGCTAAATGAAACCTGCGATCCTGAGTTGGATCCTGGGGAATGGCTACATTATTGGGACAATTAGCAAAATTTAAATATTAAAGGTGTATTAAAAGAATCATATCGTTAAAATTCCTGATTTTGATCATTACCCTGAGATTCTGCAAGAGAAGGTCCACGTTCTTAGGACATAGACACAAGAAGTACATCAGATAAAAGGGCATAATGTCCAGAAACCCACTCCAAAATTATTTAGGGGAAAAAAGTATACGTACATATTATATACACATACACATACATAAGAAAGACTATGATAATGCAAACATAGCAAAATACAATGTTATTTTGGTTAAAAGTATATCAGAATTCTTGTGTTCACTTCGGCAGCACATACACTAAAAATTGGAACAGAGATTAGCATGGCCCAAAGTATATGAGAATTCCTTACTATTCTTGTAACTTACATGTTAATTTGAAATTTTACCCCCTCAAAATTATAGCCTTTCAATGACCACACAATCAGAAGGGGCCTGCTCCCAAACCCAAAGCACTTTTTCACTCATTCTTTTTCTTCATCATACTTATCCATGTCAAAAATTATTCTATTTGTTCAGTTAATAGTATCTAACATTTACTGTGTGCAAGGCCCTGTCTTGTTCTAAGTGTTTTAACTGCACAACCACAGTGACTCAACTACTGTTCTTCCCATTTTACAGATGGGAACTAAAAGACATGTTAATTAACTTGCACAAGATCACCCATATCATCTGTCTCCTCCAGGGGCGTAGACCCTCAACTAAGGTAGATTGTCTTGTTCACTGCTCTTTCCTCAGAGACTCAGAACAGTGCCTAGCAAATTAGAGGAATTCAGTAAACACCCAGATTTAGTTTAAAAACAACGGGTACCTACTAGGCATTGGAGTACAAAGCGGTGAACAAAATAGCACTTTCAGCCTTGCACCCAATTAGCCACTTATTATATTATATATATTCACATATACTTAGCCACTTAGTATATGTATTTATATTTTTATATTTATATATAAAATGTGATATATATATATATTTCATTTGGTGCTATCAACACTGGGAGGTTAAGGTCCAACCAACCCTTTTGCAGAACAGAAAACTGAGGCACGGAACCGGACAATGATTTGCCCAGAATCAAAGGGGCTGTTGGGAGGCAGGGTGTGGATTCCGGCCCAGTCCGGAAGGTTCCCAGGCACTGCCTATGAATCAATCAAACCGACCAATCCAATCAACCAATCAGTATTTATTAGGCGCCTACTGCGCGCGGCGCCCCTCTTCATCCAGCGAAGGCGAGGAGGGAGGAGGCTGTGGTGGGCAGGCAGCCGCGGAGAGCCGGAGCACGCAGCGGACCGCGGGAATTTGGCGCCTATTTTTTGTTGGCTGGGTGTTCTCGCCTGTGATTGGGCCCCGGCGCGGCGTGCCCGGTGCGCCCGGCTGCGGCTGCTCTGTCGACCTTGGCAAGACCCAGGCGGCGCCGTACGCGACCGGCCTCCCGGGGGATGGGCCACCAGGAGCCTCCGCTGGCCCGACTGCGGGCGGGAGGTGCGGCTTATATAAACAGGTTATGTAAAGGGCTCAGCTGGCGCGAACACGTGGAGAGCCGCGGGAGCTCGGACGCCCGGTTCTCCCCCGCGAGCGCCGCCGCCACCACCCGTGCCGCAGCAGGCTCCGAAACACACCCGGCCCCAGCCGCCCCCTCTCGCGCCGCTCCGTACCGGAGGCAGCCCTGGCCCGGAGCGGACCATCCCCAGCCCGGGGCGCCAGGGGGGAAACGAGCCGCCCGGAAGTGGAGGGGCGCCAGCCAGGTAAGGGCGCAGTCTGCGGAGTTAAAGCAAGCGCCGAGGCTGGAGCCACCTCCGTCCCCTCGGGCGCTTGAGGAGGGCAATCGGGCCCCCAGTTTGGCGGGCTCAGGGACGCGGAACTTTTAAGCCAACCTCCTCCACCCGCCGCCCTCGGGGACTTGGGTTGGTCCGCCGAGCACCGTTCAGGCTTAATTCAATGGACTGTTTACACCCGGGAGAACCCAAGGCGGAATGCGGGGAGGGGAACCCCAGGGGGGACCAGGTAGGGAACAAGATTTCCACAGAGTTGCCCTCTGAAGGCAATTTTCTTAAGTCGTAAAGACTGCTGGTCCTTGTTTTTCCTGTTCTTGGGCGACAAATTAACGGGGAAGCTGGGGGTGTTTTGCTTTTCTTTCCGGTTCCCCCTCTGAGCCACAGCCTAGTGGTTTCGTCCTTCCCGCTTTCCCCTCCCCTCCCCCGTTCAGTCAGCGGCGGCGGCTTCCGTCTTAAAGGGGCCGCAGCGGCCGAAGGAGGTGGAGGTGGGGCGCCTCGCGGCCTGCGCTCCCTTCCTCCCCGCTTCGGCCTAGTTGGTTAAACCGATTCTTTCGCCCGCAGGTCACAATCCAGGGTCCCGCTCCTCCGCGTCCCGGGGCCGGACGGAGGGATGAGGCAGGGGGGACCCAGGCAGCGCCGTTGCTGCTCCCCCCGCCGCCCGCAGCCATGGAAACGGGGGAGGAGGACGGCACACGCAGAGGTACACAAAGCCCCGAGCGGAAAAGGCGAAGCCCAGTGCCGCGGGCGCCCAGCGCGAAGCTGAGGCCGGCGGCGGCCCAGGCCATGGATCCGGTGGCGGCCGAGGCCCCGGGCGAGGCCTACCTGGCGCGGCGGCGGCCAGAGGGCGGCGGCGGGTCGGCACGGCCGCGGTACAGTCTGTTGGCCGAGATCGGGCGCGGCAGCTACGGCGTGGTTTACGAGGCAGTGGCCGGGCGCAGTGGGGCCCGGGTGGCGGTCAAGAAGATCCGCTGCGACGCCCCCGAGAACGTGGAGCTGGCGCTGGCCGAATTCTGGGCCCTAACCAGCCTCAAGCGGCGCCACCAGAACGTCGTGCAGTTTGAGGAGTGCGTCCTGCAGCGCAACGGGCTAGCCCAGCGCATGAGCCACGGCAACAAGAGCTCACAGCTTTACCTGCGCCTGGTGGAGACCTCGCTCAAAGGTAGGAGCGCCGCCGGCCGTCCCGCCCACCCGGGGCCTGGACCCACTGCTCTGGATGGCTCGGCCCCAGCGGACCCCCAGGCCCGTAGGCCCTGGTCCTGGTCCTGTCAGCCTGGGCCCAGACACGCCCTCCTAACCGGGGCCCAGACTAATAGGCCCTCCTCTCATCTCAGGACCCCGGATCAGTCCCTGGCACAGACGGGGGCTGGTATTTTCATAAAAGGGGGCTCATTAAGTGCTCACCATTATTTTAGTTAAATGCTCAGGGAAGGTGGACTGTTATTATCAAACTTTTAGCACTTTGGAGTTTCCACGGGGGGAGTGAGGGGTATTGGGCTGAGTTGGTGGAGGAACTTCAGAGCCCCCTCTCTAGGGCGGCCTCTTCTCTTTCCTAAAGCAAACAAAAAGAACTTTACTGGACCCATCCACACCCCCTCCCTGTCTGGTTCCAAATGTCCTGACACCCTTCAGCTCCAGCCCCAAACTCTTGCTTCCTAGTCTTCCGTTTTCCTCTGAGACCCCCCAGCCCATCCCAAGGCAGTCAAGCAAACTGGCAGGCTTCCTGGCTAAGTCCTCTGGGGCCTGCTGAATAATCCCCCCCCCCCAGGTGGGCCTAGAGCTGTCACATAACATGTAACATCTTTTTTTCCTCCTTTCCTCCTTTCCTCCTTTTTACACACTTAATCTTTTTCTAAACCCCCTGAGGCTGGCTGGCTTGGGTGTTTATAGGGAAGATGGGCCTCAGGGAAGCAAAGGGGATTTTGCAGTCATGGGAGGGCTAATCCTAATTTCTGGGTTGTAGCTGCAGTTAGGGAGTGAGTTCATCTTGAGTGCCCAGTACTCGCATGTCTTGTTCAGACTTAAAAGTAGCTAAGGATCTCTAAGGAGAGGAGAGGGCCAGGGGGCTAGAAAGGTCTTAGGAGACTTTCTCAGAGGAGAGGTTACTAATCTGAGTCCCAGCTATGTCCTGGATGTCTTACAGAGTGACTTTAGGTAATAACTTTAAAAGTAAATCCTCTCCTCTTTCTATAAATGGAGAAACTAAGGATTAGAGGTAAACAAATACAAGTTGATGAGGTTAATCAGCTTGTAAGGGAAGTTGGGTTTCCGTACAGTTTTTCAGAGCCTAAGTGACATAAACCCAGACCTGTCTTGATTCAAGGCCTAGATCCTTTCAAATGGGTAATGATGCCCTCACTTCCCCGAGAATAAACTGGAACTGATCTTTAAGAATGGGTAGGATTCGGGGTGGGGTTGGGCAGGGCATTTTGTTTGGAGTTTTTGCCCAATTTTAAACTCCCGCAACCCATCCCAGGAGAACCTGCCACCCACCCCAGGAGAACTCTGTCCCATTTCAAGTCAGTTGTTTTGACAGTGGATTGAGGGATATGACCAACATCACCTGGGGTCCTTTTTCAGCCCTGCCTCATCCTTTCGGAAAAAGCCCACCCTTTCTCCCCAGGGTGAATGTATTTGTTTTGAAGAGAATTTCCATGAGAGTCTTTGAAGCTTACCTGTATCCTAAAAGCTCTTCACTTCCATTCTCAGACTGTCTTCTCTACCGTGATTAACGAATAGTCTGGACTTCATAATACATGACTGCCTTGGGATGTGGGAATTCACTTTGCCAACGATCCTCTTCTACCCTTTAGTTCATTGAGGCCAGTCTTGAAACTTCCACCCAGGTGTGAAGTCTTGGATTCCCCTCCTTACGTATAAATACTGCTCAGATTCTCCCATGTGTAGAATTTGTCAGAACTCCACAGTAAACAGTGGCAGGATAGCCTCGTGGTTAATACCGTAGGCTTTGCGGTTAGGCTCACTTTAAGTCATGGCTCGTCTGAACTGACTACATGAGGCATGGGACAAGTTGTTTAAAACCTGTGGGGAGCATTCCTTTATCCATAAGATAAGGGTGCCTGTGTCCTCGAGCTGCTGTGCAGCCTGGGAATGCCCCTAAGTGCTCTGATAAGGAGGAACTCAGCAAGTTCAGTCCACATTTGGAGTCCTCTTCATCATCCCTTTTGAGAATTCACTGTGTTCTTGTTCAAGTTTGACGGTGGAACACATCCTATTGTCTGGGTTGTCAGTAACACCAGGTTGAGAGAAACACTGGTATTTTCTGCCTCCCTTTGTGAATTAAAACAGGTCTAGAGAAACGGAATAATTTTGCTATAGGCCACACACTTCAATCATCCCTTTCAGTTGGGAGTCTTCAAAATACTTGAGCCTCTACTATGGGTCAGGTAATGTTCAGGGCTCAGAGAGCAATAAAGGAAATGGTGCACAGCCTCCCTGATGAAACTGACATTGAAATTTACATGTCAAATGTTGATTTAGCAAGCAGTTTATAGGCATTGTTTTCTGCTATTAGTATTAAAGTTAAGAACAAAAAGACCCACATTGCTCTTAGGTTAAGTTTTCCTGCCTTCAGCTTCCAGAATTGAGCAGTCTTAATCAGTCCTGGGGCACTGGATTTACAGCATGCTGATATCACTCAGAAATGTTGGAGCTGGAAGGAATCTTAGAGATAATCTGGTTCAACCCTGTCACTAAACTACTGTGCAGTCACCTTTTGCCCAGTCTTTTGCAATTTAGAATCATTTTGAAATAGGCCAAAAAAGTGTTAATCTGCCTTAAAGTCTCTTTTGAACTAAATTTACATAGCTTTACTGAATCCTCATAGTAGCATTTGGGGCCGGGCGGGGGGGGGGGGGGGGGCACAGGTGGCAGCCTTTCCCCCAAAGGAACTTAATTTGTAGTTTGAGGACCTGTGGAAGACTTAAGTGCTCATCAGAGTCATGGGAGGAAAGGCAAGTTGTCTGGTTAACAAGGACTTTCTACAGAGTATTGCACAGGATTAACAAGAATGATAATCTAGAGTTATCTAGGAATTGGCAGAGAAGATAGGCTTGAATGAAGGGCGCCTAGGACCATGTAGACAGGTAGAGAAGAAATGGGATTTATTTTACAATGGGCCAAATAGGGAATAGTTGGGTTTTTTCCCTCTTCAGTATCAGCGCTTTAGTGAATACGCAGAAGGCATCTCTGTAGTCTTTAAGAAATTATTTGACCTGTAAATCCAGTCTCAAAAAGAAAAGAGAAACTTCTTAATGCAGTTCTTAGTCTTATCCAACTTTGATAGGCTTCTAGGTCTCCTGTCCTTCCTTCCTTTCTGAACATAGGCCAAGCACATAGAGCATTATGTAGCAAACAGAAGTTCCAGAGTCAGCAGTGGTCTTAGAAGCCTGATCTGGTCTTCTGTTTCACAGGGAAGGAAACAAGCCTGGGAAAGAGACAGGACTTGCCCCATATGAGTTAGTGGTAGCATTCAAACCAGGCTCCCAGACTTTTTTAAACCAGATTAACAATCCTGTAAATTATTTGGTGGATGCGTTGATGTCTTTGTTTATCTTTTAAGTACTTGTCACAAACAACAGGAGTTAAAACATCAGCAGTTTGCTTTTACCCCCTTGCTTCCATTGCCAAAGGACCCTGTCCTGAATGCACCTAAAACTAAATTCAAGATTGCTGCCACTTAGAAGACAGCAGGCAAGCCTGAACTCATTGTCAAACTAAATTCAAATTCCTGCGTGCTCTCTAACGCACACACTGATCCTTCTGACAAACAGCGACGAATAAGGAGTTTATATATATATCATCTCCAGGACAAACCCAAGGCTCATAAGATCAAATAAGAAGTTTGGAAAAGCTGGGGGTCTAGCTTATCCCATCTTGGTAAGACCCTAACTAGTTCTGCTTTACCGACTATTTCATGTTTACTGTGCTCAAGAGATCTTTAGGCGGCTTCACATGGTGGGAATCTAGGCCCTTGGGAAGTCTGGTCTGTGCCTTTGTGCCCAGTGATGACTGAGAGCCAGGCACTGCGGGAGAGCCTACGGCAAAGTTTCCTCCATGAGGCATGCAGAAGACACAGGCCCAGATGACCACAGTTCAAGGTCCCGAGAGGTGGGTAGCCTAGAAAGTGAGGCAGGAGTTAGTGTGGGGAGGGAAACTGGGGTCTTAGTAGTGGACTGGCTGTCAGCCTGCGCACACACCCCCCGACCCCAGTCTGTTGAGTGCCTAGGAAAACCTGAGGCTCAGAGCTGGCCCACCCCTGCCCAGACCCCTAGAAAGCAACTCTGAATTCTCTACTATGGCTTGGGCCTCAGAAAAGTGGAGAGCTGGGGGGTGATGTTCAGCTACTCGGACATGATCAAAGGTGTCATTAATGGCCTTGGAAATTAACGGGACACAACAAACAGAGCGCTAGCATTGACTGGGAGTCCGAAGGTTTGGGTTCCACTGTCACCATTAGTAAGAGCTGCAGCTTACTGATTGCTCTGGGCCAGGTGCTGTTCTAAACTTTATACCCATTAACCAAGTCATCCTTGCAACCCCCTTTTGAAGTCAGTGCTATAATTACCCCTATTTTACAGGTGAGGAGACCCAGGTTAGTGAAATTGCCCCATTTAGAACAGCTAAGCAACCAAGCTGAGGTCCAAACACAGGCATTTCGAGCTTGAGTCCGCGCTTTCTAACTGCTGTGCTGCACTCTTGGGACAGGTGGCTTAAATTCTGGGTTCTTCTGTTTTTCTTGGTTGTTAAATGGGCGTAATCACATTTTACTCAAACTAATGGCCACTGTTTATTTTTTAATTAGGTGCTAATCCGTATTTGGCACTGCCGGTCTCTACAGGTGCCTCCCCTGTGTCAGCTACCAGGGACCCTGTTCCTCCTTTCTGGTCTGCCCTTGACTGTCTTGAGACAACCATGCAGACTTCTCTTTTATTGCTGCCTGCCTGCCTTCTGTGTGCACTGGGAATTTTAGCTATCAGCCTCAGGAGACAGGAACAACCCTTGGCTTAATTGAGAGTTTTGGCTAATTGGGTTGCACGGGATAGGCTTTTTATAGTGTAAATTTCCAAGAATTGCTTAGCTTCCTATAAAACATCAGTTCACTCAACTCAAATTTGGCCTTTGGTGGGGTCCTTAGCGACT